CGCCGCGCCGCGAGGCAGCACCGCGGGGCCGGGTAAGTGCGGGGTCGGCGGGACCCGCGCGCGTTCCCGCGCAGGCCGCAGGCCCCGGGCGGGAGAGGCGGGGCGGGGCGAGGGGTGCCCGGGCCTCGGAGCCAACGCGCCTTTCCCGGGTCCCCGGGCAGTTCCCCCCGCCCTCGCCCGCCATCCCCCGAGTTGGTCGGGAGGGAAAAGTCCTCCCGCCCAGCCCCGACTCGGAGAGGTGGTGCGCTTCGTCCCCTCGGGGTGAATGCAGGCTGTGCTGCTGATTCCTGCCCTCCCGGTGGGGTCGGGGGACCGACAGGGTGCGTTAACCCGTGCGTTGCTCGGAGCGCGGAGGGGCGGGCCCGCAGGCTGGGGGACCCCACCGAGGCGGGAACTGGATGCGGGTCACCTGCGAGGATGGGATGGCGGGGACCTCGGGGGTGAGGGCACGGGAATCCCTCCCCTGTGGTCAGTGGACCTGTGCTCTGTCTGACACTTCGGCGCGTTGTTACCCTGTATGTTTTCTGTGACTTGAACCCTTTCCCTCTCTTTTCAAGTGAATTTGACTATAGATGCCCACAGTTTGCACATCGATCTGTACCATCCAGAAGTGCTTTTGAGGTGTTTAGATTTGGTTATGTTTCGTGGTGGTTAGTTGGAAAGAGAAACAATTTGTCTCTGGAGACTTAAACTCTCATTATTGACTTTTGCACAGTGATTTCGGGACCAGGAGGAGAATTTGCATAATTGACGGTGTAGGGTACACTTGAGATGCAGGTAAAAACAGAGAGAACTACAGTTTCTAAATCTTTCTCAGGGTAAAAAGTATGAGACTGCTGTGCTTTGTATTAGGTTGAGGAGTCACCCAGCCAATCCGAAAAGTGCCTTTCTTATTTAGCAAACACTTGGATACCTCTTACTATGTGTTGGGCTCTAAGTGTTTTATAAATATTAACCCAAATTGTTAACTCAAAATATCCAATTATAGTGGTTCTAGCAGTGAAGAGGTTGTTCATACTTCAGTTCCCCAATGTCACTGCAAGAGCTGGAAACGAGAGAAAGTTTCAGGCTTTTTTTTTTTTTTTGGACTGTGTGTACCTTCTGGACCCTTTGGTTACCATTCCTGTAAGACAAGCCACCACGCCTCCGCTTCAGGGGAAGGGAGTCTGGAACTACCCCTCTTCTGGACCTCTTCCCTGCAGATCTCAGCCACCCAGGTCCCTAGGATCGGCTCCAAGATGGCCTTTCTTATTGGCCATCGTGCCCATGTTAGCTAACTCCGGAGAGTCCAGAACTTCCCCCTTTCTTCAACTGCCACTACTTGGAGCCTGATTTTGTTTATCAAAGGAGTTTTGCTCCCAATCTGTTTGAGAATTGATGTGACTGTAGCTTACATTTAAGATTGAAAGTGAAATGCAGTATAAAATAAAACCTTTAGAGATGTCCATTTTGTGGTTTGCAGATATATATAGAGAGAAAATATTTTTCCAGAATAAAGTGCCCTCTTTAAAGACATGCTTTGGCCTGACGTCAGATTAGTGAATAAAATAGACATGGTTCTTGTCATTATGGTGATTATGAGTCTTATGTTAAGATCTGTACGTCATACTATCGTTCTATATCTCTCTCTTTCATATATTTAACTGTCCAGGGTGATGATTAAATGAGACGCTGAGCCTTATTTAATAGGATTATGACGTGTCCTGGAAGCAGGAAGGTTCACTTTCCTTTGATAAGATTTATGGCGCAACAGACATTGGTGGATTTCAAGAATGCACTTCACCCAAATGGCAACTGACACTTTCATGAGTTACAAGGTGCTTCCAGACATACTTACTTGCTCTTCAGAGAGACCTTGTGAGGTTGGTGGCCATTTTTATTCCAGAAACTGAGGCATGGAAATGTCAACAAGCTTTAGCCTGGATTGCACAGCTGGTAAGAGGCAGAGCTTGAATAGAGAGCAGATATGTGCACAGTGCCTGGCACATGCCAACCTGTCATAAACATTTGCAGAATGAATGACTCCAAATGACTTCATACTTATTGCTCTTTCAAAACACATGCCTCTCAAATACCATAATAAATTTGTGCCTAAAGGATTTCCAGGCCTAATCCAATGTATCTCTCTTATTTCAAACAGTATCTGTCTGATACACATGTTTTTTTCCAAAAGGGATGAGAATGCTCTTTGGACTCATTTCTTAGGATTTATCATCTCTGGTTTTTTGTTTTGTTGTTGTTGTGTTTTTGTGGGTTTTTTTTTTGGGGGGGGGGGCGGGTGTGATATCATCTCTGGTTTTTGAAAAGCAAATAGGTTGGTTGTCCTTTCTCGCTCTCAAACATTCTTTTTCCCTCTGATTTGGAGAGTTTAGACTGGACACATGGTTTTAGTGTTTGTGTTGACAGCTTTCTTATCTCTCCCTGCTCAGCTAAGGTCATTTTTAAGGACAGCAATCACTATAGGTTTTCCATGTCAGTGAACTCAATTAAGCTACTTAGAAATAGGATCAAGTTTAAACACAGTGATGCTAGGTATTGCAATTTTTCAAAGTATCTGACATTACTAATGTATTTCTCAAAATGTTGCAATTACTTTAGTATAGATCTGTCTTTCAAAAAAAAAAAAAACCCTCAACTATTTATATCCTTTAAGCATAACTGTCTGTACTCTAAAGTATGTGACTTCCAGATGGAAAAACCTTCAATTAGAGAGGAAAACATGGCCATTACCTGGTGGGAGAACTTGAGAAGGGAAAAATGGGAGGTGGAGTGGCCTTTCCCATGAAGGGGATTAGGTGGTAAGAAACCCTTAATGAAGCCACACTGAGTCATCTGCCTGTCAGGTTTTTCTCAACGTTCGCTCCTCTGTGTGGGGGTGGAATAAAATACTTTTGAAACCTGTCTTGTTTCAGAAACCACGTTACCTTTTCCAATCTCATGTTTTCTCTCTCTCTTTTTAAATTCATGTAAATTACTGACTAAACTGCTGATTCATGAAACTCAAATTATGTAACATGTTGTTCCTGACAGAAACAGTTCAAGAATTATTTTAAGGGACTGTTTCCCTTTATCTGTTGCATTCTGTAAGGTGGCATCTTTGTTCTCATTTCACCTTTTCCCCCCTTCTATTTCATGGAGGAAAGTGGCAAATCTAAGAGGCGCCATTTCCACTCCTTGTGGTTCATGGCAAAGCCATTTTAACTCAGGACTAACTTGAGTTAGTTAATTGTCATTGCAGAGGAAAACAACATGGAAATCAGATGTTGAAGGCCGATTCAGAACAGTAAAATTTTATTGCCTGTTTGAAGCTGAGCCAGCGAGTTTGCAAAGAGAGCAGTGTACCATCTCCTTGCTCCTGTCCAACTTCTTCTGGCCTTTCCTGGTTGCCACAGGTCTTGAAAACCTGCCTTAGTTTACCTTTTTGTAGCCACTATTATTCGGTGATGGGCGGGTGAAAGAAGGGTGATTATGTTAGGGGAATTGTTGTAGGGTGAGAATCTGTAATATGTAAAATGGAGGGTGAAGTAAGGGTTGTGAATGAGATCTCACAGTGGAGAGGATTCATGCAGATTGCTGCTTTGCCTTTCCTGAAGGGATCAGACAGACATAAGGGGAAGACATATATGGGATCAAAGGAAGATTGGGAAGGATTAGAAACATATGTCAGCATGTGCTATTGGCAGGCAGAGTTCCTTTGTACCACCAAGTGCAGAAGTGTCATTATGGGTAGCTGTTTCTTCAGGCCACCGAATGCATTTGCAGACAATTGAATTGTAGATGGCTGGTTTCCAGGCTTGAAACTGGAAGTAAGAAGATTTCACAGGCTTTTGCTTGAGTCAAGGCCTGGATTTTGTACCTTTTTAAAGCCTTACTCTTTTTTGAGTCTGCCTATAATGTGGAGATAATGTCATTCTCTTCACTGTTTTGCGATTTTAAATAACCGACGTTGTATTTACATGGCATGTAGTAATGAATAGCATTCAGGTTAATTGCTGTCATTCAGGTTCCTGGTATATTTGCTATGCCAGTCAATACCAAACACTTTTCCTGTAGGTAAAATAGACTTCATGTATATTAACACACAAAATCGGACTCACTGATGGACTAGCCGGTCTATGGATGAAGCATCCTCAAGTACAGTGGGGCTTCACTAGGACTTGACTAATTGCTTGCTTGAGTTAAGTAATGAGAAGAAACTTTTAGTTATTTACCTCCCTGTTTTTAAAATAAAAATAGATTAAAGTTAGCTTAAAATGATATGGTTTCCAAATCAGCATACACACATGCAGACAAACATATATATGGGATCTGTGGATAGATTATATAATCTAATGCACATATATTATATAAGTGATCAGCTAAAGGGAACTATAGGAATCATGTCCACAGTTTCCCAAGAAAACACAGTATGTACGTCACCTTTTTTCCCTATTTTTATTTTAGTTTTTTTCTTTTATTTTCTAAATATTTTTAATTACAAAGGCATGTATGCTCTTGAATTCAAGCAGTCGAGAAGCATGTGAAGTGAAAAGGAAAACTAAGTCTTCTCCATTTTAATCTTACCCATGAAGATAATCATTGCTAAGTATTTATATCTTTCCAGATTTTTCTCCATGCTTATATAAACCTGTGTATCTATAAATATATGCAGGGATATTTTTTGAAAATGAGAATCATTCTACACAATTTGTTATTTTGTTTCTGTTTTTTGTTTTTTATCATGGACATCTATCAATCTACACCATTAGTTTTGACAGCTGCATAGTATTCTACTTTATGGTTAATAAATTATCCACCTTCTGTTTCTAATTATTTATATGCTCACTCTTTTGTGTCTTTTAAAATATGTTTAAATCACCAAAGTAATACATTTTTAAAGAAAAAAAAGAAGAAATAAGAATCACCAGAGGGGCAGAGGCAGGCTAGAAGGGGGTCAATGGGAGAAAAAGGGAGACATACAATTCTTTCTTTCTTTCTTTTTTTTTTTTGACATATAATACTTTCAACAATAAAGACTAAAAAAAAAAAAACAACACACCAGTAAACCTGCCAGTCAATAATCACTGTTAGCATTTTAGAGTATAACTTTCTACACTTTTATTTGTGTATGCGTATCCATATTTTCAATGCCATTTTAAGCAGTTTCTTCTGAAGGCTTGCTTTGTTGGTTGGGGAATCAGGTTTGTGTAGCCAACACTTTTAAACCAGTTATTTTGCTGTGTTTCCTGGCCACCTGCCATAGCCCAAGTCTGGATAAAACTTGGAAGTTTATACTACTGCTCATAAAGGGGATGAGGTGAGGGTGTGTGGATGGACTGACAGACCCATCCACATCGGCATCATGCATATCTCTAATGGAGGTCAGTCAATATTTGTATTTTAAGTACATCTAAAATATAAGATATTTAAGAAGAGAACTAACAGAATATTCACACATAATTGATTATGGTCACTAAAGGAGAAGCAGAAATAATAGATTTGAACCAAGGAAAAAGTGTTACATTTAGTTAAAAATCAGAACAGCTGATCTTCACATGTTTTGAAATAGTCTCCTAATAAGTAGATTTTTTGAAATAATTGGTCTAACAAAGCTCCATCAATGGAAGAAATAGGTGATCTTGAAATTTCTTATGGTCCTATTATATTATAGGCTCTCAGAATTAGTAACACTTGACTTAGTATAGTTTCATGTATACAACTCCCTAGTTATAATAATACTAGAGGCCCGGTGCATGAAATTCGTGCACGGTGGCAGGGGGGGGAGGTCCCCTCAGCCCAGGCCGCACCCTCTCTAATCCGGGACCCCTTGGGGGATATCCGACTCCCAGTTTAGGCCCGATCCTAAACTGGCAGTCGGACATCCCTCTCACAATCCAGTACCGCTGGCTCCTAACTGCTCACCTGCCTGCCTGCCTGATCGCCCCTAACTGCCCCCCCTGCCAGCCTGGTTGCCCCCAACTGCCCCCCCCCCCCGCCAACCTGGTTGGCCTCAAACTTGCCCCCCCCACCAGCCTGGTTGCCCCTTAACTGCCCCCCTGCTGGCTTGGTTGCCCCTTTATGGCCCCCTTGCTGGCCTGGGTCACCCCCAGCAGCCCCCCTCTGCCGACCTGATCGCCCCTAACTGGCCCCTCTCCCCGCCAGCCTGGTCACCCCTTACTGCCCCCCTGCTGGTCTGGTCGCCCCCAACTGACCCCCTGCAAGCCTGGTCACCTCAACTGCCCCCCCTGCTGGCCTGGTCACCCCCAGCTGCCCCCCCTACCTACCTGGTCACCCCCAATTGCCCCCCCTGCTGGCCTGGTCACCCCTCCCTGGCCCCCTCTGCCGGCCTGGTCGCCCCTCACTGCCCCTCCCCCCTGCCGGCCTGGTTGCCGCCAACTGCGCACCCTGCCGGCCTGGTCGCCCCACGCAGCTTGTTGTTTGGTCATTTGGTTGCCCCTCACTAACCCCCCTGCCGGCCTGATCACCCCATGCAGCCTGCTGCTCAGTCGTTTGATTGTACCTCACCAACCCCCCTGCTGGCCTGGTCGCCCCACGCAGCCTGTTCAGTCGTCTGTTCGGTTGTTTTGGATGTGATGGCCCCTGGCTCTTTATAGATCACCAGTTTTTTCAGACAGCATCTGTCTGGGCTAACATCTCGCCATCCCCTTTTTCTTCCCCCACTGGACATGTGCACAGCTGTTACCCACAGTTTGCTCCTATATCCTTTTGTGGCTTCCCCACCCTCCACTTTTATGAGAGTCTAGTATCCCTTTTAACCTGGTTCTTTTTTTCTTCTTCTTCCAGCTTTTTCTTTTTTAAAAATAATTATATGTTTTTTTTAATTGTTTGGGGTTTTTTTTAGAGAGAGGAAAGAAGAGGGAGA